TGGTGCTGGATATTTGATCAACACTGGAGTGAGGAAAGTTTTTAACAAACTGCTTCCAGGGATCAAATTTGATATAACTAGTCATAAGGACGACACTACTGAGTACAATGAGTTTGATGACTTTCTTTTCAATCCTTCATCGACAAGGAAGCAAACCACGGAAAACTGCTGAGTGTAAAACCTCAACTTCTGCGCTAACAAAAGCGACTTTGGAAGACCGTACCCAAAAGAGATCTGTCCTTGGGGACGATTTGGCCAATCTCAGAGAGGAAACTTCCCCGGCTGGAGAACTTGGTGATGAAAAAGAGACCGCTGAGTCTAAAAGCTCAACTTCAATCATAATTATTAGTAGTAATAATAACAATAATACTATATTACGTTAATCAATATAATAAATAATAATTATTTATTATATTGAAAATTATTACTATTGATAAAAATAGTAATAGCAATATAATAACAAAGTTATAATTTAACATTATTATTGCTGTTGTTTTTTAATGATAATAGCATTAATATGAATAATAATATATTAGTATTTTAATCAATATACAACTATATAATAATTAATATGATACTTAGTAATATAATAATTATTATATTGCTAAGTATTATACTAAAATGATTATTATAATTAATCATAATTATTGTGAATGACAATAATAATAAAAAAGTATCAATATAATAAATAATATTAGTATTACTTATATTGATAATTATTATTGTTACTATTTCTAATGATAGTAGAAATAATATAATATAAAGTCATAATTTAGTATTATTATTGCTATTGTTTTTATAATAATAATAATAGTGCTATTATTAAAAACAATAGCAATAATAATAGTATTACATTATAATAACAGTTGTAATTTAATAACTATTAAATTAATATAATTTATTAGATTAAATTAGAATTAGAAACTCTGACTCCAGCATACAGAGAGAGCCAGCACAGGGGCAGATAATTAATTAATTACCATGGCAACGGGGCCCAGCCAGAGGAGTCGGTCAGTAGTCTCACTAACAGGCGCAGAGAGAAGTCTCCCAATGCATTGTGGGAAGAATACATATTTCCTGTGATTATTCTTATTTTGCTTACATAAAATTATTTATCAGAATTTTTCAGTGTGAATTAAAATCCTTAGTATGAAGGTTGAAAAACTTCTAGAAATAAACAATCACCCCCTCTCTTTATTTATTTATTTTTTAATTTTATTTCTGACCGTGAGTGAGAACCACATGTGCGAAGCTTATAATCGTCAGTGGGATTGTGCATGACGTTCAACCGTCTCTATAGCAGTGAGCCTGTTTAGTCACAGTGCTACGGATGAGCTCCTGAGGCCAAGTCCAGCTGTGTGAGCTGTTGCTGGAATTCTGGGTCTGAAGTGATGGTCCCCTTCTTGTAGCCCCTGTTTAAATTTATTTTTGTGTTTTTAATTGGGGTGAAAAGACACATTTTGGCTCCAGAGGACTTTCAGCTAAAGGTTTTGACACCACTGGTTTAAAAGCATTTTCTGACACTGGGTCTTCAGTGAACCGTAGTGAGAACCTAGTCAAAGTCTGGCCTAAACCTTAATTTCCCATGTGCCTGAATTAAAACAATTCTGCAAAGAAGAATATTTTCTCCCTCTCTGCCGGAACTTTTACACGTTTGCTGTTTTTCAGCTTGGTGGAGTTAGTCCTTCACTTTTACGAACCTGTTGTACGAGGGTCATGGGAATTATATCGAAGGTCATGGAGAGTCATGGAAAAGTCATGGAATGCTCTGTTCTCTCAGGATTTCGCCAACACCATCCCGGGCCACGGCGGCATCATGGACCGCTTCGACTGTCAGTACCTGATGGCGACTTTCACTCACGTCTACATCGCCAGCTTCGTCAGGTGGGCAGCAAGGATAATGTCTTTTCCAGCGTTGTCGCTACGTTTGTTGGGCTCTCTCTACACTGTGTTACTTTGACTGGGCCGTTTGTGTTGCAGAGGTCCGAACCCCAGTAAAGTGCTGCAGCAGCTGCTGACGCTGCAGCCGGAGCAGCAGCTCAGCATCTTCCACATCCTGCACTCCCAGCTGAAGGAGAGAGGCCTGCTGCCGCTGCCGGCCATCCAGGCCGAGTGAAACCCGCTCAGGAAGTGTGTGAGGCGGTTCCCTTAGCTAGTACGAACACACACACACACACACACACACACACACACACACCTTTGGACTGTACTGTGTGTTACTCCTAGATCCATCATCAACCTTCTAGATTTGAGGCGACTCTGGAGGGGGAAGAAAAAAAATGTACCAAACCAAACCCAGGAGTTGCTGCCGCCAGTTTGCTTTTGACCGCCTTCGCTCGCTTTTCCAGCGCCGGCGAAGGAGGACGAGGAGGAGTTTGGATTGTCTGAGAACGGTGAACTTTGCACTGACTTTTCTGACATGAACTCTTAAGAGAAGCTTCCACCAGCAGAACGGACTGGTTCACGGACTCCGCTCTGCACATCCACACATGTAGCATGCATGCAGCGGCGGCGCATGCAGCGACGCATGCAGCGGCGGCGGCGCATGCAGCGACGCATGCAGCGGCGGCGCTGCCTCCATCTCCTTCCACTGGTAGCTTTTAGGTTTCTAACCAAACGTTGGTGGAAACGGATCGACTGCAGGCGCAGATCGTAGATCATCATCTGCACACCTGACACTTGAAAAAATATATTGTACAGAAATATACGTAAATATTTAGCTGAACAAATACCTAATATATATATTTACTTAGAGATTTGCTGTGGGAAAAGAAACAAAAAACATTTTAAGCTGTGAGAAATGATATGCAACTAAAGAGATAATTTCCTTTTAGCATGAACAAAGTTTATCTTTAACAGGCAGCCATGTAGGTTTAAGCTGAGGTTATTTAGAGACGGTGATGTTTATAAAGCTTTACTTCAAGAAAAGGATGGAAAAGATTAGGAGTCACAGTGGGATTAGGAGATCAGCGCTGCAAGCTTTAATCTAAACCCGAGTAGCTTATCTGAACATAAACAAAATAGATTAACTGTTTTAAAATAACGTTTTAAAATCTTCCTAGCAACACCTGTAAAGCTCACACAGCGTTAAGGTTTACATTTTCTCCCAAATTCACTGATGAATTACTTTTTATTTTATGGTAAAATATTGTTTTAAGCATTTAAACTGTAACACTGCATTATAAAACTGTTAGTGAACAATAAGGAGGCTGAACTGATGCTGTAATTACTGTGACTTGTGGATTAAAATCTTTATTTACAAACCACCGTTACATACAGACAAAAAAAATAACAGCACTGCATTTAATAAAAATTAAATATTTATAAATCAATCTACTAATCTGAATAATTGCCATTTTTTAAAATTAATTTTTTATTCAGTTTCTGCTGGGCATTTAAATTTATTTATTAGTTGCATTGAAAATTATAGGAGAGTAAATATGTAACAGGTTTACTTGGTTAAAATAAATACTATTTGTATATATTTAAAAAATAAAACGGGTACTTGAAGTGATTTGATGTAAAACTTAATCATTATATGTTAAATTCATATAAAATTATTTATTCTATTGTTTAAAGATTCCTGTGCTGAAGTGCAACATGAAATAATTGTTGCTAATCAGGTAAAAACAAATAGAAAAGGGGATTTTATGGGGGAAAAAATAATAAAAATAAAGCAAAACCCTTACATGTATGAACTGTTACTTGATACTTAAAACATTTTATCTTATGCTAGTAAAAATGTGGTAGAACAAAAAAATAAATTTTCTTACCTTTTTAGTATAAATATTTTATTTGACAAATTGAAATAATTAGATTTTATTAAATTATCTATTTGTTTTCCCAGTTTAACGAATTGATTTTAAGGAAACGTGTAAATGAGAAATATGTGCAGTTTAAGACCTGACCAGCAGGTGGCAGCACTCAGCTCAGTTCTCAGAAATTCAACGTTTTTTTTCTTCAGTTAATTAATTTGGAAACTGGAAGCTGATGGCGGTTGTCCCTACTCTAATTATTTTTCTCAAAAATAAAATTTTTGCCTTTTGTTTTGCCGTTGGAACATTTTTAATGGGAATTGGAGATATTTCTCCCTGTTGGATTAGAAAGTTTATAGAGAGTTCAGCATGTGTTGTGGTTTCTGAGCAGTACTTCCATCTGTTGCCACTGAATGATATGTAGAAGGTTTAATAACTGAATCATTTCAACCCTGGAGAAAAGGCAAAAATAACAGATTTCTAAACTAAATAACTAGCTAATAAACAAGCAAAAATTACTTTATTTTCCCCCATATTAGAAGAAAATCACAGGATAGCTTTAATTTTCACTTGATCTTTTACTGAAAAATGTAGTCAAGTTCAGATTTCTAAAGTTTAGGAATTTCATATTCATTTGGTTTAAGTTTTGGTTTCACTCTAAAATCTAAATTAAATAAAATATATAATAAATCTGAATCATATCTTATGGTTTTACCTTCCACCTATACAACAGAATACATAAAACCAGCAACTTTATTATTTTGTCTATTTTGCTGTCTTATACTTTTTTCAAAATGTGAATTTTGTTTTTATTTTTTGCAGATGAAATTAAATTAGAGGAAATATTGGCGCCACATTTTAAGTTTACTTTTTTTTCCACCAAAACATGCTTTTGTGTGAGCTTTACAGGAATTTATCTTCTGATCCAACTTTAAACATGAAATGTTCCTTTAATGAAAGCTTAGCGCTTCCTTTGTTTTAAGCTGTGGTTGCACTGTAAGGTGGAGGCGGGTTATGCTGCGGGACAGTTAAATCAGATTGATTTGAGCAGGGAGGGTTACATCAAATCAATGTTTATAAGAGTAAATTATGAATGTAAGATGGTGTGAAGCATCGGTACGGTTTGTTTTCTCTGTACAGTAAACGCATCAACATGAATCTGTAAAAACTAGAAGGTTTTATTAGAAATGCTGTTTCCATGCTTACCATTCGGGTCGAGTCAAACGATGCGTTACCGCGCTCTCGCATCCAAGCCAGATCTCTCTGGGGAGAAATGTTTACCAAAGCTTGATCAACGCTCATTCCTTCCGGGGACCTCCGGGGGGCGCCAGCGAGTCGGATCCCTCTCTGTAACAACACCCCAAAGCAGAGAGCTAATTCACGTCAGTTTTTCTTCTTGAAGGTTCTAATTTATTAGTTTAAGCGGTTCTGAGTGTTTTCCTCTGAGATTATCGGGACCAGCTGGAAATGTTCTCTAACTGCTGCTGTTTCCAGACACTGAAGCAACATCTGCAACACTATTATTTACATTTTTACACATTTTTAAGCTCATTTTTACAGAATCTGCAGAGAGCCTCTGGGATGCTTAAAGGGAAAGGTCAGGATTTTATTTTATTTTTTGCAAAGGTTTGGTAAAATTATATTGCTTTTTTTTGTTGTTATAGTAAAAATGTGATTTAATCTAAAGATTTCTAACCAATCTTAGCTCTGAATGTAACAGTGGATTCCCTATTTATTTGCAAAATACAAAATATTAACCCTATTTTGCAGGTGTAAACGTGCAGAAAACATTAGTCCTTGACTTTGAGCAGCTTAACATTTTAAGTAACTTTTTAGCAAGATATAAGAGCCTGTTTTCAGTCAATGATTCCATCTTACTGAAAAGTTTCTTACAAGTTGGTTTTAGTAAGATATTTGCACTAGAAACTAAACCAAAATTACTTGGTAAGATTTTGAGTTTTTGCAGTTTATGTGAAAATTCAGAGGCCAAATTGTCTAAAAACAAACAAAAAAAACCCTAAATCGACAGTGACAGATTCTAACAGCCACAAGACAAACTCAAGTCTAAAAAATTATTTAATTCCAGCGGCTCTCTCAAGGTTTCATTTTTATTTTATTTTTTAACTTAATTTATGGATCTAACGGTCATGCAGACATAAATGTACAGACCAGAAAGCACAAAGCTGTTGCGACCCAAACGTTCAGGTTCTGCACTTTATACTGCTGGTTTAGTTTGTGTGTTTTGGTCGATCGGTTGCAGAAATGACAGCATTTAGCCTTTCGGATCAAATCTTTATCTTCTGCTGAAGGAACCGAGCAAAACAAAGGTGTAACGTGAACACTGATGTTTTAGAGATGATATGAAGCAGTTTACTGTAATGAAATGAATAAATTTTTTCTTTAAAACAAACATCTATTTTATTGTGACCTTACAGATGACAAATCACAAAAATAAAGCTTGACAGTTCATTTTTATTAATCTGCATGATGTGCCACAAACATTTGTATTTAGGAAGTCAACATTTTGAAACCAAACATTTAACGGCTTTTCAGTCCTTCAGTGAAAAAAAGAAAAGGTCTCTTCTCAACATGATCTGAATGGAAAACAGTGCAGGTTGCAAACAAATTAACACAAAATAATACAAAGAAAAAAAGATGAACACGATTTTATAGGTTTTAATTAAAGTGCACGTTGGTTTTAAATCCACCTGGAGTTGGTATTAAAACGGTTTTTATGACAATGTCGGTGTTTAAGCATTATTTATTTAAAATAACAGTGACCCCTACTGGACAAACATACAGGATCCCTTTTTAAGTTGTTTTATCAAATCCACAACCATCGATTTGAAAAATAAACGGAAGAAAATAAAAAAAACAAACTACAGGAAAAAGGAGGGAACCATTTCCAGTTCCAGTGTTGATGCAACACAGTAAAAACCCTTCGTATGTCTCACGGTTTTTGTCTCTGAAACATTTGATGTTTAGTTTTTGATTAAATATTAATTTGAACTGATTTATAAGTTGTTAAATTTGTACGAAATCAATATAAAACAGTGCAGTGACGAGTTTTATGGCTCTACTTTGTCAGTACGGGTTTTAAAGTGCGCTAAGCTTCCAGTTTGGTTCTGTGGAGAGCTTATGAGCAGTTAGCATCTTCCTTAAATCTTGACAACTTCATTTAAACCAAAACAATAGATTTGCCGTAGAGGTGTCCAAGGTGTGGTGCGGGGGCCTTATGCGGCCCTCTGAAGGATTTTGTGCGGCCCCTGACCTCATTGCAAGCACAGGAGGTTGATACAGATGGACACTTTTTCATCTTATAGAGAAACGTGGTTTAGAGATAAATATCTTAAAGAAAAAAGGTACAAAAAAACATCGTTCATTTATCATGTTTCTGCAATCAAACGCAAAAAAAAAACTGCGTAACTGTCTTAACGCAACTGTGCAAAAATGTTTTTACGTTTTCTGTCTACAATGATTTAAATTTAATTACTGAGTGGATCAACTTGAAAAAAAGGCACAAAACATACATTTTGTGGCCTAAAACTCCTTCCAACTTAATGATTTTGGCCCTCAGAAGTTAATAGCTCCCAAGAATTGGGGCAAAAAAATCAAAACCAAATGCCTCATGACTCAGAACATTTCTGAACCAGATATTTCCAAAGTTTCTCTTTGGTTCATCCTCTTTCGCCACTACAGACTCTGATGCCCCCGATGCTGTTGACGAAACCCCGACTGACCTTCCAACTTCCTAAAGACATTCCTCCATTTGCTTCAGGCCTGGACAAAATCTCCAATCTGAAAAATGTCAGATCTGCAGCCGCAATGACCAAATTCAGTGCGTTGCTCTGGAGCAGAACAAAGAAAAAACATTATTTTTTCTTTGTAACCAGCTTCACTGAGCCTACGCAAAAACAAAATGGATCAGTAAGGAAACAGCCTTTGCTAAACAAAATAATACAAAAAAAGGCTGTCATGACTCAGTTTCTGCAGTTCTGATTAAAGGAGACCCAAATTATACTGAATACAATACAATTCTGCCAAATACAAAGGAAAGGTAGGTTTCTATCTCATAATCTCACCATTAATCATCTGAACTAAACCTTTAAGAAAAGAATTTGGCTGAGAAAACAGATTCCCAATCTAACCTTCAGATCCTGATTGAGATAAAACAAAAATATGAACATGCTAAGAGAATCACATTTGGATGCCTGGATGGTGACAACACTAAAACCAGAGATGGGTTGTAACTGGTTACATTTACCCGGCTACCTTTACTGGAGTACTTTTACTATGCTGTACTTTTTATTGTTACTCAAGTATTTCTTGGACGGTTATTTTTCTACTTTTACTTAAGTACAAATATGCTGTACTACTCTTGGTTGTGTACAATTTTTGGGGACACTACCCACCTCTGGTTAAAACGGCCGCTAATCACACAGGTGGTAACTGAAAAGACGAATGAATGAACGAACGAATCTTGGCTAACTGCATTAGTATCAGAGCTTCCTTTACATCTTGGATCCAGATTTCACATTCAGCGTTTAATCCCATCTGTGCTCCAGAGATGAACAAACAACTAATAGAAAAGGAGGACGGTTCTGTCCACTTTGCTCTGGATATAAACCCACCAGGGGTTTCTTTCAGTGGCCAAACCTTTTAGCAGCAATACTCCACAGAGCCAGTCAGGAAACTTCTAGGTAACTACAGCATTAAACGGGACTCGCGTTTCGTCCGCTTCATCGTCCACAATGGTCGTCAGATCGGACCGGTTGGGACAGAAAAGGAAGCGAAGCAGCGCCACCCCAATGCGCACCAAGAGCCTCAGCACAAGAAAGGCGAAAGGCACCGTGATCTCCATCAGATGGAAGATGGAGGTGCTGAATTTACTCAAGATGCAGGACAGGAAAAACGTCCCCAAAGCGACGCAGGGGTACAGAGCTAGCTTAGCTAGCATGAACACGTGCTCCCGTCCGCCATACCAGACGTAAGGGTGCAAGGTTTCCTGCTCGTTGTAGAGCGCCACCACCCAGATGGAGAGCTGGAATATCCCGGCGAAGAAAACGATCACGCAGCTGATCTGAATGGCTTCGAGTTCATTCTGCGAGTTGCGTGGGAACTCGTGCGTTAGCTGGTAGGCTAACGGCAAACCGCCAACAAACGCCAGAGAGAAGGTGTTCAGCAGGCCCATGAAGCGTGTCGCCTTGGTGACGTGGAGGAAGAGGGAATGGTGGACGAACCAGAGGAGGCCGACAGTGGCGAAGGAGCCGAAGTAGGCGAGGTACTCCGGGCCGTAGGCCTGCAGGGCGGCGACCAGGCTGCCGCCAAACTGCTTCTGCACCACCGCCGGGTCCGGAACGTTGTCCTCACTGAAACCATGGAGCCCAGTACACGTTACTTTGTTTTACTACTAAACAGAACGCCATTAAAGTCACAAATTATTTTGTAAAGATGAAGTGACTTTTTTTTTAACATATTTGTTAAAACTGTCACTGATAATCTGTGAAATAAAAAGTCGATCTCCTCCACTGTCTTAAGAACTGAACCAAAAATAACCAATCAGAGCCAGGAGGCGGGTCTTAGTGCTGTCAATCAACCTCATGAACACAGATTAGCACGTTGCTAAATGTGCTAATGGAGGAGAAACAGCTTACCGTTACAGAAAAACTGCTTATTCGATGTCAACGGTGGCTATGCTAACTAGCCTTAGCATTCATAACAAGCTCTGCTAGGTCCAGGGTTTCCTTAAAAACCTTTTAATCTACTTTGAATATTTAATTGTGCTAGTGTACTAATTGGAAAGCATTAAATGGAAACAAGACATTTGTAATGAATTTTCTCTATATAAATAAACTGAATTGCATTGGATACATGGGGTGATTGACAGCATTAAGACCCGCCTCCTCACTACAAAAACACAAAATCTTAAAGTAATTTTCTAGTGCAAATATCTAACTACCCTTACAATGAGACATTAGTAAGATATTTGGACTAGAAACTAGACCAAAAATTACTTTCTAGATTTTGAGTTGTTGCAGTGAATGTTACAGTTTAGGGCCCAGACTCTGAAAAGCCAGGATTTATTTGTCTCTTACTAAGCATTTCACAAAATAATGACCATTTCAACAAATATGTAGAACATACTGTTTGGCTTCAGAGCATACCATATGTCTAAGATGAGAAGCGTTGCTACGATGGCATAAACGCCGTCGCTGAAAGCCTCGACTCGCTCCTTGCTGAGCGGCTCGTTGGGAAGGTATGTGTAAAACAACATGGAGTCCGGCGTCTCCTCCACCTGACCTGAAGCAGAAGAGACTCATGAGAGGAAGGAAGCGACATCAGAGCGGCAGTGGGTCCGGGTTCCTACCGATGGCTTTGCTGCGGCACCACTTCAGGCTCTGGGAGATGTAAGGCAGGAAGATGACGATGGCTAGGAGAACATAAGACTGGAAGACATGGCATAAATTAGAACGACCTCAATAACTTATGGAAAGGTGGTGAAACATGGGAGGCTACGGAAACCCATTCCTGCCACAAATTAAAAAAAAAAAAAAGCCACACAGGAAGTCATAATTAAGAGTTTAAAAGTCAGAATTTTGAGAAACAAAGTCATAACTTTAACTTTCAAACTCATAATTACGACATTAAAAGTCAGGATTATCAGACAGAAAGTCCTGATTTTGGCTTTCAGAGTCATCTCTAATGAAGCAAACTTCCTTAGAGAAACATTATTTTGTATTTCATAATTATGACGTTGAAAGGCAATATTCTAACTTTAAAACTCAAAATTATGACTTTCACTCTGAAAATTATTTTTAACCCTAACATTTTGACTTCTTCTCGAAATTGACTTTAAAACTCGTAATTGACTTTTACTCTTGATATTATGACTATAGAACTCAAAATAGACTTAAAAAGTCAAACTTATGACTTTAATTCTAACATCACAACTTTAAATCTTAAAATTATGACTTATTCTTCAAATTATAAAAGTATGACATTAAAACTCAAAATTCTGAATTTTATTCTTGTAAATGTGGAAGCTGCCGTCTGTAACTTTGTTAGAAAGGTTAAAGAAAACCGCCGATCGGATCCAGTCAAGAATGTTTAAAAATATTTTTTTCTACCAGATTTAATGGGAATCAGATTAAGAACCGTCAGATCAGATGAATGTCTGATTATTATCTGATTAACACAGCAGCGTTTTACATCTACACTTATCCAGGGCAAGTCTGCAAATGTCTCTAAAAACAGCAAAACTTATTAACTAACCACCATCTTTTTTCACTTGCATGTGAAAACAGTTTAAGTGGGACAGATTTGGTGCTGACCAGCTGGAAGAAGATGAAGGAGAAGATGCTGGCGAAGAAGCACATGATGGGAACCCTCATGATGACCTTGAGGATGTGATGTTTATAGTAGGTCAGGTTCTCTGAGATCTGGATCTGTTCGTTCAGCAGGAAGGGCCGGCTGAAGGCGTACAGCACAATCACCGACTGGAAAACGCAGGAATCGGGTCAGCGTGTCGGGGGTTAGTGAACACACGGTGCAAACGGCCCGGTGCCAAAACTCACGCTGCGCCCTATGCTGCGCCCTACGCCGCTCTGAAGTGTGGACTCAGTCAAAGTGAACATAAAGGTTTGCGTCATCAGGTTACAATCGTGCAAAAATTTGAGAACTTCGACATCCAAAATGGCGCGATTGGTCACAGTTTCAGGATTTATGCTGCTAAAACTACAACTGCAACAAAATAAATCAATTTTATATATACAGGTAAGATATTTTTCCTTTCAAAGTCAATGGTGGAGATATTTGGATGTTCAAATATGTTGAAAACGAACAAAATTCAACGTATCCACACGTCCAGTAGAATGAAACCAAAACTATTTTAATACTTTACATTTGAAAACTAATTTTTTTTTGTGAACATTGCCATATTTCCAAGATTACGGTTGTGAGAATTGGGACCGGGCCGATATCTGACGTAAAGGACGAGGAAACGCTTCCTGACCTGAATCACCCCGATCACCATCACACAACCACAGAAGAGTAAAATCCCGAGGACGTTCTCAGGGAAGGTCGCCATTAAAGAAAACTGCAAAGCAGAAGGAAAATGAATCTATTTATTCAAATGTAAACGCATTCAGAACCAGTCTGGTACTCACAGTGTACGGCAGGAAGGTTATCAGCATCATGCAGGCCTGAATTAGAACAGAAAGCAGAACAAAAAAAGGGAAATGTGAAACTTAGAGAGGGTCTGGTAGAAAAACAAAAAATAAAGACGTCAACAAACCTGAGGCTGTACTCACAAGGTTAAGCAGAGCGAGGCAATCGTCAATGTGAACAATGACCTGGAATAACCTGCCAAAATCAAAGACCAAATAAGGAAACCTGGAAAAAAATCTGAGTGATAAAAAGAAATCTGAACAGAGAAAGTAAGTGCCTGATATGGGCGGCCCAGGCAACCGTCACGATCAGGAAGGTCATCAGGTAAACGGCGATCTTCGTCGTTAGCAGCAGCTGAACGCTCTCCCTCAACTCCTGCACAAACCAATCAATCAATATTTTTTATAGAGAACTTTTCAGACAGAAACCTGTAACAAACATGATTTAAATGTATAATAAAGATCAATCAAGATAATAATAAGGTTTACCTCGTTATCTTCCACTTTGGTGTGGGCAACCGGCAATATCTGTAAATAAGAGTCAGGATTAGAAGATATGTCCGTCAGATTTAATATGTAATAATAATTAAAGTAACTATAATAATTGGTAATGGTTTTTGCCAAGAGGACGATGCTTCAGTTTCTCCAATAACATTTTCACTAAACGAAGGACCTTTCTGCATAATTTGCCTATTTTAGGGGTACCAACTCCAGTCCTGGAGGGAATTTTGTGTTTTAAAATGACAAAAATAAAGTCACAATATTAAGAGAATAACTATTAAGGCACTAAAGTAGTAATTTTATGAGAAAGCAGTCTTCCTGCTGTGCTAAAATGAGGAATATTTAACATCTAGTGAAGTTATATTTTGGTATCAGTTTTACAATTAAGTAAATATTTAATCATTGGACACATCAGCATCAAATTATTATCAGCAGCAGAACTGAAACAATTGTTCAAACTGTTTCTGTTTGTAATCAAGAACCACAGCGACTTTCCCAGCTGGTCACATCAGATCTTGATGACAAACCTTAAAACAATTTTTTTCTGGTAACTTTAGCAAATTATTTCATCATATGCTGAACTAAAAAAAAAAAAAATAAATTTAACATTATTTTCTGTCCTTGCTGAATTAAATACTGACTGAATAATAATGGTTTCTGACCGTTTCTCTTTCCTGTTATGGTATGGTCCCGCCATCTTTGTTTCTGTATCAACAGCTCCATCCAGCGCCCTCTGCTGGATGGAGGTCAAACGACAACACTAAAAGAAAGTCAAATTTTTTGTCACCTATGCTTGTTTTTTTGTTTTGAAGAGACCCTCAGAGAAATTGGGCATCTCTGATTGAGAGCGACTCAGAGAAATCAATTATTTACATTACAAAATGTAGATTATTGATTAGAAGTTAAAAGACATTCTGATTATTTTAAAATCTATAATAAATTACCTCTTTTTAAATTAAACAACAAATGGGGCTTAATTTAGTCTAATTAATCCAATGATGTTCAAACTTTTTGCCATATGGTTAAAATCATTAAGTTGGATGCACTTTTGGGCCATAAAAAGTATTTTAAAACAAACTATATATATATTTCTTTTATTGTGTTTGAGTAAAAGTAGGTTGATGCTTGTGGTTGCAGATACTCCAAAGCTAAGATGACTGCAAAAACGGCGTTAATAAATGGGAATGTATTAATATTCTTTTTTTAATAATATGTTATCTCTTAAAAATGTTAATCGACAGAATGAAAAAGTGTCCATCTGCATCAACCCCCTATGCTTGCGTTTAGGTCAGGGGCCGCACACAATCTTTCAGAGGGTCGCAAATGGCCCTCGGGCCGCACTTTTGGACACTGTGAATTAAGGTGAATCTGCTGCGGGATTTCTCACCATGACTGTGGCAATGATGGAGATGAGGGCATCGCTGTAGGCCAGCAGCCTGTGGGAGGACTGGGTGCTGCTGTGGCCCTCTCTCTCGGACGGACTGAGGCTATCCAGCAGCGGGGAGGACAGGCCGCGGATCCTGGCCGCTTTCTTCTCCATCTCCTCCTCGACGTGGTGCTCGATAATGTCGCTGTCGTCGTTCTCCCCCATCCTGGACGGAGCTGCGGGACCACGGAGGACGGGCAGATGTTTGCAATCACCCGAGTAACAGCTGACTGTGGGCGGACCGAGGAAGCAGGAAGTAGAGGAGCGGGTGTTTCCGGTTCCCTTCGGAGATCGTTCATTCAACAAGAGGAGTCACTCTGCCGGGGAAATTGTTAAATTTGCTGTTTCAGTTTTCCCGTTTTTTTTTTTTAAATTTTAATTATTTTAATTTTTTTTTATCTGGGTTTCTCTGGTTTATTCAAATCGAATTAAATGGTATATTTTAACTGATTTTTCAAATATGTGGCCAGAAAAGTGAAATTTCTTAAACACTTTACAAATATTTGTTATTCTATTAGAAAAATAATTTTATTATTATTATTATTATTATTATTATTATTATTATTATTATTATTATTATTATTATTATTATTATTATTATTATTAATAATAATTTAATTATTTTTAGAACTATTGGACATGAAACTATTTCGCCTCAAGGGGGCGATATCAGACCATAGTGACATTCATGATCTTCATGTGGCCTGAAATGAAAATGAGTTCGACATCCCAACCTGAGAGGAATAACAGGTCATAAAAATCAGATATTATTATAAACTGTAACAGAAAGTTACTAAATCTATTATGTATCTCGTGATTGTTGTTCTTCTGGCTGTGCTTTCCTGCTTCCCCACATCCTGTTTTAGTAAACTTATGTTCACAGAAACAGAGCTGAAGCCTTTAGGCACATGCCTAATAAAATAATAAAATTTGTATTATTTTTTTCTCTCAAAGTGTCTTTAGGTCTTTTGCTGTCAGATCCTAAAGCGATGCCTTGGGCTGCCAAACTTCCTCCCTGAAGCTCAATCAAGCAAATTTGTGCCAGTTTTTCATGCTAATACAACACAAGCCGTTCATCCATCCATGCAAAAATGCAATCTTTTTTCTAATCAGTATGTTAATATTTGTATCCAGTTTTCTCATCACAAGCAGTATGAAGAGATAACACTGGGTTCACTGAACTGTGAGTTGTCAGATGTAACTGGTGTAATCCTAAAACACATCTAGACTCCCAAACAAAACAGAAAAATAATTCTGCTTTGCATGAAACACAACTTACTAATTAAAAACTGTTTCATAGCAAATCCTTGTCTTACATTTTTCTCAGAGGAGTTGTTTTTAACCAGCTACGATGAAATAAGAAGCAAGAAGAAGTTTATGTCAACAGTGGTTTTTCTGTTTGACTGAACAGCACAGCAGCCAGTGGGAGTGGGACGTGTCACAGCAAAGACCCCTGGGTAATAAGGCTTGAATGTGTGGCTCATTAATTTCTCTACTTCCTTATTAATGTCTGGAAAAACAAAACTGTGGATCTCTCTGGTTAATTCCCAAGATCTAATGGGCTAGAAAAACTTCAGCTTCACTTATAAAGCCTGATTTTAACATCATGGTTGTTCAGTTTAAATCACTACTGATGTCAGTGTGTTTCTACAAAGATCTGCATCTCAAAAATGTTTAATAATATTAAAAATGTAAAGATTTTGGTGCTGCAGGTAAAGAAAAACAAAAATTTAATGTCTCAAAATGATGTCATAAGCAGCTAATTGACTAAAATAAATAAAAGGTTTCCTCCAGATCCTTCACTCTGGCTCTTCAGTAAACATGTCAAGTAACTGAGCCATTTAACAATGAAAAGGTTTTTTTTTATGCTAGCTTTAGTACTTTTTTATACTCATTTTCTTGCAATATATGCAAAAATAAAACTGTTAATGTAAAAAAATATATATTTTAAAAATGAAATCAACAGGCTGCTCAGTACTTTCTGATGTCATTTTCCATAAAAATCAAATAAAAATGTATTGAATCTAAAATAGATATGTTGAGGTCAGTTTTGTTTTATAGAGACATGTTGATACTTTAAACTAATTTTGTCAATTTTTTTTCAAGAAAAATTCTGAGATTGATCTAAAAATTTTAGATTTTTTTCTAGGTATTTTTTGAAACTCAGAAATTTCAACAATATTTCTAGAAAATGTCAGAGAACAATCTTGAAAATTACAAGTTTTTCTCATAAATTTTCAAGAAATAAAACTTGGAAATTTTTGAATTTCCACATGCAAATTTTCAACTTCTGAAACTCTGAAATGTCATTGTTTTTTCTACAAACTTTCTGAGATTAATCAGTTTTTTTGGTGGAAATTTACTCATTTTTTTCTATATACAACATCTCTGAAACACTGTCATATTTTCATAAATATTATGGAGTTAGTTACTAAAAACAAGCTCCTATACCTTGCAGAAAACTCACTTGTAAGGTAGTTCTGTATAATTTCACGTGTAGTAAGAAACTAGACCAAAATTACTTGGTAAGACTTTGTGTTTTTGCAGTGCAGCCGGTCAAAGTGATGAACACGGAGCGACTCTGATCAAAGGAGAGCAAGGCTTTCTCATCTCAGCACAGAGCAATCATGCTTGTCCTCCTCCTCCGCTCCTTCTCATCCTCCTCCATCCTCAGCTCAGACTGAGACGTGTTGACACAGAACACGCCAGGTGTAATGGGATTGACCTCCGTCGCCTGCGCTGCCAGATTGCAGACAGACGCATCAATAACATCTGGGCTGCTGCAGCGCAAACTGTAAACTCAGCAGACTGAAATGAAGGTGGGCGGAGCCTCAACATGTCTTTTTCTCAGTTGGGTGGAAAAACTGTACATCAGTGGTTTCCATGTGTTTTTAAGCTGCTGGCAGGTCACAAAATTCATTAATAAGACAAAATTAACTTACAAGTAACAACTCAACAAGATATAGCAGCTGGTTTTAAATAAATAATTCCTTAATATTGATGAAAAAGTGATATTTCCACTCGCAGATTATCTCACTTTAACATGGGAAAAATGTCTTATTGTAAATTAAATAATCTGCTAGAGAAATTGGTAGTTTATTTTAAATTTTAAGGGATTACTGACTTAAAACCAGCTCGCTAAACAGTTCTCATAAGTTAGTTTTGTCTAACTTCAAGTGTAATAAATATTTGCTTTAAAATTAGACAAAAAATACTTGGTAAGATTTTATGTTTTTCAGTGGAGGTACCACAAATGGGCCCCGGGCCACACTTTGGACACCCCTTGCTGCAGCTATGCAGCTATTTCAGGATTGGACTGATTTATTTGTATTGTCTTCCTGCACATGCTGCACCCAGATGGATTTATTGATGGTGTATCAGTTTTTTAAACTCCTATCTGAAGTGAAGTCAGTGAAGCCTTCTTCAGGTAAATGAAGAGAGCGGCTTCAGTGGCGTCTGACAGGAGTTATTACCCCACGGTGATGAGTTGCAAATCCAGACAGGAAGGTTGTGAAGGCCGACTCTTCTGCTGTCACGTCTGATTAAGGCAGCAGCTCTCATGTCTGCAGGACAGAGCTAGGATGTCTGAGGACAACAATATCACAGGATCAGGAGTGACACCATGATGGGCTGAAGAGCAATCTCTGAGGGGGTCAGAGGTCAGGAGGATGCAGACATGCAACCGCAACGAGTGATGAGATGACACTGAGGTTCGCCAACAGATGGATCCCCAAGAGAATCCGTTTTCTGCATTTAAAGTGACATATATGAAAATAAATTAACAAAAAAAAACAAAAAAAAACTAAATTCATGGTATTTGCTTATAAACAGATCTACATTAATGCATTAAGATGTTAAAATACTCTGTTGTGTTTACAAGATTATCAACGAGAAGCAAATGGTGAAACAGCTCAATGAAGTGCAGAGGGATTTCTCACAGTTCTGATGTGTGGCAGCAGGACGACGTTGCTAAAATAAACCTGATTTAATCTGCTGTCTGCAGTTCAGATTTAAACCGTCAAATCCACAATCTACTGCATCAGCGTTACGCAACGGCCTGCCCACTAATGCAGCTTCATTCTGGCTCCTGATCTGAAGAGAAATATTTAGTTTAAAGGGAAAACATTACAAATAGAAAGCTTTTGGACACCATGCTTCAAGTTTATGTTGTGTAGAATCAACTGATGTGTTTAATTTAACAAACTATGTTGTGCTTTTATTATTCTACAAAACAGGATAAAGGAATGTTTTGTAAATATTTATTGAAATTATCACTTTGTCATGACAGTATAATATGAGACTGATAATGTGTGGGAAAAACTGATCTCCTCTGCTTCTTCCAGTGCTAACTAGAAACAACCAATCAGAGCCAGGAGGCGGGTTTTAGCACTGTCAATCACTCTTTCTCTCTGCTAAGCTGCAGCTTAACATTCATGCTAAGGCTAGTTAGCATAGCCACATCTGACGGCGGATAAACAGTTTTTCTGTAAGTCCAGTTGTTTCTCCACCATTAGCACATTTATGAGGGAGTACACGAGGTTGATAGACAGCACTACGACCCGCCTCCTGGCTCTGATTGGTTGTTTTTGGTCAAGACTGTTGCATTTCTTCAGTTGGCAGTAGAAGCTCAGAGAGGAGGAAGAGGATGTTGATCTTTTCATAACATACTATCACAGCACAGTGACAGTTTTAATTCACTTTATTGATATAGCAACACCATTTCACTGCAAATGTAATTGTAAAAAGTACTTTTAAACACACAAAACATAGTTTTAGTCATATTTTGCAGACAAAAAATCCAGTTTGTGTGTTGAATAAGACACACAAACAGCAGAAGGTTGAAAACAACAGAGTGACTCATGACTCTGCCCTTTAAGGAGACAACTGACCCAATTTTTAACCCTCCCCACCCCTCATGTTACCAGTTTTAAAGGTCTTGAGGATTTTCTTCCTGAATATCCCCAGGACTGTGTCTTAACCCAGATATTCAGGTTTTGCATTTTACACCGTCTGATAGGAAAATCCTGCCTAATGCCCTCTGCTGATGACATCCTGAGTGCTTATCGTTGTCCTTTCTGCGGCCCGTTCACCAGCTGGCCCTTGCCATCCAGCTGATCACATCTTATCCATCTGATGAGAGTGCAAAGCCCGGATATTGGAGGGCTGCGGTTTACCTTCAGTTAATGAGGCCTGCAGCTCAGACTCGTCATACTGAACGAGTCGAGTTAAGATTACAGAGCAATTACACGCTTCTCCACAGATCACAGATTGGAACGGGAGGTAACGTCAACTTGACCTACTTTATTCAGTTAGAGGTGCTCTGGATCAAAAGGTAAGTTACTTTTCTGTAATAATTGAAGTTAAAAAGCACGGCTTTAACTGGGATTTATATAGAGTACCTCTTACAGATCATCACATTTCTAAAATGATGGCTTATGTCATTTTGTTTTTTTTTTTGCCTAAATCATCTGGTCTAACTAACTAAGAAGTAACTTTCCAGCAAGATATAGTTAGTTTGCCTTATTTCAACTGAAATAAGATATTTGCACTAGGACCTAGACAAAAAAGAAACTTGGTAAGATTTTGTGTTTTTGCAGTGTAATCTCACATCTGTGAACCAAAACCTTCCAGAATCCATGAGCAAAGCTGCCGTTTGATTTATTATCAACAGGACTGCAGTGAAAATGACCCGAGTCCTTTGTGGACTGCTCCAGAGTTAATTGGCTGGCTGTGGAGTCGACAGAATGGACAGAGAGATAAAAGTGATGAAAGACCGAGCCGACCGCAGAGCATCAATTAGAAACATAACAGTTATCATCTTACATGAGCAAATGTGAGATGTGATGTTTGCTGAAAATTCTTGCAAGAAAGCATTTTCCCCCAAATATCTAATGATTTATTTACAGATTTGAGAGTATGGAGGTGTTATATTGGTTGTAAGGAAATATTTCCTTCACATTGCAACTTCTCACTAAAAAAACAGGAAGGAAGACTTGTTTATTTCTAGGAGAATAATATGATTCTCCTTTTGAAGTTCGTGTTTCTAATTTAATTTGTTAGGATAGTGCACAACAATCAACATTACCACAAATAACTAACAGATAGAAATTGAATAAAAGTTATTTTCTCTTCTAGCTTGCAAACAAAACTAAAGAGTCTCTCAGTCCAGGACTAACACGGGTCTTTGGAGTTAAATGACCTGCCAGTGCTTTTTAAAATCAATATTAAGAAATTATTGCCTTAAAATAAGCTCCTGTATCTTCCTGAAAAGCTATTCATTTCAAGCAAGATATTCGCACTAGAAACTGGACAAAACATAAATATCATTAAAGCAGGAGTATTAAGTGTTTTCCAGGGACACAGTGCCATTTATAGCTACAATCAAGTATCTGTGTTAACTTCAGTTATAAGAATGAAATATGTATATCCAATATGTCCTAAAAGAAATTTGACTTCATAATTTAACATCTTTATATTGGGCCTCTGTCTCTTTAAGAAGCTCCTGCTCTTTCTGAAACTCCACCTTCAGGAAGTCATCACAAATGGCTCCTCTATTAACCCTTTAACAACATTTCTACCAGCGTTTCACTGAGAGGTAGCTCCAATAATGAGATCAGCTGATCAGTTGTTTGCTAATTGCTGCTGGCTAGTCTGTAGGAGCTGAGTGGGGGAGTAACGGTGGAGGCAGAAGCTCTGAAACCTGAAAGCTGCAGCTGTGAGGATGAGCTGCGTCTTGAAGGCGGAGCTAAGTCCACCCATGTGTTTTGCACAGCTGAATGGTTGCCATGGAGATTAAAGGATTTCTCAAATATTTATTAAAGAATCAAAGCAACAATCCAGGTTTGTTTTTGATGAGGAAATAACATAACAAGATGTAAAGCTCAAAAACTTTGATTTTACATAATAATGCACCTTTAAATATTATTATAAAAAACATTTTGGGAAGATAAAAGAATGAACCTGTGACTGTAGGATGATAATTCTGGGTTTGACATTTCTTCTTTGATATGGTCTGACTGTGAGGAGAGGCCACAGGAGGGTCTGCCTTTCAAATGGAAATCCTGCGCTGATGCATTCGCAGCACAAAGGAGTCTGTTTCTTATCTCTGGAGGAAAGTCGGATCTTCTCTGTGAAGCCAGCTTCAGAGAGAGACAGAGGGGGCAGCTGAATTTTGGCTTCAGCTCCACACGGCTACAGGAAATATGTTTTCTGCTGTCGGGGTGAGTTAGGACTCATTTACTAATGGTGAGACTCAGCTTGCCCCTGAGCCAGCTGACGGATAAATCACCCACAGTGCCTTTGCTGCAGTGCAGAGAGAACACAGCCGCTATCTCCTCCTTTATTTCATCTCGTTTATTTCCCCCACTCTCTCTCTCTCTCTGTCTGCGTCTCCAGCTCTGCGGAGCCATGAAGCCGTTTATGGGACGGATGATGGAGTGGAGGCTCGGCTCGTGATGAAGTTCCATCAGAGCCGCGGAGTGTAATAAAGAGGAAAAACACTCTCCATCAGAGACAGGGCTTTGATGCAACATTAGGCAGCTGCTGCAGCGAACAGGGAGCTTTATGTAGGAGTGTGTGTGTGTGTGTTTGACCTAAATTAGCGCCTATTATCAGATCTGCAGCTTCAACTTGTTGTTTTATCATCACATTTTCTTTACAACAGCTCCTTAAAGACCAGTTCTAATTCTGTTTTTTCAAAAATCTGAACCCACTTTGTGAATTCAAGTGTAGCTTCTACATTTAGTGGTGGAAAATGTTTTGTTCGCATTTAAGACCAGTTTGATAATGAATTAAATGTAGAATTATGTTTTTATTTTTTATTTTTATGAGTTGTTACACTGCAAAAACACAAAGCCTTACCATGTATTTTTGGTCTAGCTTCTAGTGAAAATTTCTTAACACACTTGAAATAAGACAAACCTAATTTACAAGTAACTTCTGAGAAAAATATGTGAGCTTGTTTTAAGTAAATAATTCCTTAATATTGATGAAACAGTTCTAGTTCTATTTTCCCCTTACATAAAATGTTTTGTTATAAGTGAAATAATTTGCCGCTTAAAGTAGCACTTTTTCATTAATATTAAGGAATTACTGACTTAAAACAGACTATTAGAAACAATAGGAAAAATAACACCCAAAACCTTTAAATGAGATGCAAATAAGTAGCAAATTTAATGCAAAGGAAACAAAGTGATCATACATACATGGACAATAATCTCAAATGCTCAAATATAGGAAACAATCATGGAAAAACATGAAATTTTGACACTAAACACAAACCAACAAACATATGAAGCAAAATCACTACATTGTAATGCACATTGCATCAATTTTAACCTCAGACGTTTTTTTTTTTTTAACAAAGCCCAGAACAAGCATCAGTCTCCATTTTTCCAGAGGAAGTAAGAGACAGAAATGCTGAGGGTTTGAGGAGGAAAACCGAAACATGCTGACAGAATAAGGACACAGCTGAAGAGTGTTTGCATATTAAGAACAGACTCCTCTTGCTTGAAACTCTGCAGCTTTTGCAGCCCTTGCAGTAGTTTTGTTTGGAGTTCAGAAACCTGGCCCTCCACCACCGGGACCTGCTGGAAACTTTCTGTCATTTTTAGGACAAAACTTTCTCAGGTTTTCACTGAGAAAGTTTTGTTTTCTTAAACTGAAACTGTTAGAGCAGAAACTAAATCTTGTTTCTGTTATTTTACTGTCTTTTAAAATTTCACAGTAAGTAGGGTGCAAACATTGACGTTTTACCCAAAAACACCCTTTCATTAAACTTGGCTAAATAGCGAAAGGTTTCTGGAGAAATTTCTCATTGCTGTTGCTGAGGAAACTGGTAGAAATAAAAAACATTCAATCTGCACATCTGACACCAATAAATGTCAGGAAAAACAACTTTTTTGACTAAACAAAATTAATTTGTATAAATTTTAACAAACCCATCTCTAATATTGGTAAAATAAAGCCCAGTTACACTATTAGTAAAAACTTTTTATCAAAAAACAGGTTATTGAAATTGTTGCGTTTGAAAACTGTTTCCATTAAGCCAATTTGTTTTTGTAATCTATTTGCAGTTTCATGGTTATTGGAAATGCAGCTGCTGCCTAAAGTCTCAGGTTAACACGATCACTTTCTTTAAGATCAATAAAGTATTTTTGAATTTGAAGACGTGATTCTTGGCCAATATGGGTTGTTATTTGTTATTGTTGTGTTAGTTAGTTAAGGTGTTTTAAAATCTTGCTCAGAGTGCCCATTTTTAACTCTGAGCACCAGCCCCTCCAAAAGTCTCTGGCCGGCCCTGTCCATCATCATCTGCTAAAACAAACACCTGTCGCTGAAAACCACCTGCAGCTCGTTGTCCCGCCCACACCTCCCTCTGTCGCCGCCTTCTGATTTATTTTCGAGAATAAACGTCAGATTATTTTGGCGGTGGGAGTAAAGATTATAAAGCTCCACATCCACCGGGCGTTCTGCGGATGTTTAAGCCGGAATTTCGCTCCTTTTATCGGACGGAACTTCCCCGTTTCGCTCGGGAAGCTGGTGACGAAGACAGAAAGGTGATGCCTTTAGGAAAATAGGAGTTTTTAATTTGATAAAGCTTCACTACTAAAGGGAAATTTCACTTCTCACTGCTACATGGCGAAGTTTCTGGCTGAATTACTGGGATGCGCACTTCCCAACAAGAGGACTCCTCCTCTGTTTGAGGTAAGGATGCGCCGGTTTGTTTTTAAAGTCCCGCAGCCTTCATGCATCATTAATCCGGTGCTGTCAGGTGTGAGCTGAACAGATTCTCCCTAATAATAATTTAAGTCACTGTTCGTTATTTCTGAGAATCAGCAGAGGGTTTGTTCATATGTTGTGTTGCGTGTCAACTTCATGCTGCTTACAGGTGGATTAAACGCGTTTTTTTTCATCTTCTGTTATTATCCTTATTGTAAATTTCCTACAGAAGGCGCTGTTTGTGTTAAACGAGCTCAGAAGTTCTTCCTTTTATAGCACAATGTCTGAGTTCATGGCTTAAAGATGGTGACTGTGATGTTGCCAGAAAGTGGCATCAAGTAAGAAATGGCCAAGAGTCAAACTGTCCTTCTGTATTTGGGTCAGTGTGCCACAGACATGCTGCTGCTGTTGACAAAACTCGTCTAGATTAATCTACACTGATTGCAGAATATAGAAAAACAAGTTTGTGATTTGTGAAAGCAATGCAACAGCTTGATGAGTCGATTATTTAAAATGGTGGTCAAGCAGTTTTGTAATCATTAACTCGAGTATACAGACTGATAAAATGAAATTTACTGAAAGTACAACTCACTAAAAGCACTAATTAACACAAAACTGTAAAATAGGCATATTTCTAAAATTTAAGATGGGGTGGGGGGAAAAACCCTTTTGACATTTTTATATACCTAGAACTCCTCAAGTGGCATATTTTAACTTCACCCATTTAAAATAATCACATTTTGCTATCTATTAAGTTGGTTATTAAAAAATATTTGGCAGATTAGCTTTACACTGTATTGATGTCAAAAGAAATACAGAAAGATGGACTTTTAGAAGTATTTTTAGCTACAGATGGCTTTGCTATGAAGGCACACAAAATTTTATTACACTTTAGGCAATAAAATGTTTTCTTATTTAAAAAAAAAACTGAATTATTTAATTTCCATCCTTTTTATGTCTTTATAATATTGTATAAGAATAGCTAAGCGATTCGATGAGAAATTTACAGAATGTGCCAAATAGTTTTTTCCCCGATTAATCGATAACTAAAATAATCATTAGTGGCAGGCGTATGTATTATCTTAATCTATTTTGTTCCATATTAGTTCTTATTTTTGCCAAAAGGCGGCAGTATTCTTTAATTTTTGTTTTTGTGAAGGATATGATGATTACAGATTTATTTTTTTCATTTCACTTTGCTGCCACAACGACCCAAAGAGAAGCCGCCATTTTGGTTGACATGTTGGGGACAGGCTGTAAAATCTCTTGGATATTAGTGTCAGTGATGTAGAGATTGATGCCTAGTGGCGTTTAAATTGTCAGAAGGCATCAGATCATACCTGACTTTGTATTAGAGGACTTTCGCTTCATTTCCAGCCGTGCTGCTGTCAGCTTTTTATGCCTTTTTCATGCTTGTAGCAATGCTGAATGGATTTCTATGACATGACTTCTACAGAAATGTTTTCAATGTGAACTATTTATCAAAAACAAAGGTTTTGTGCACATTTTAACTCTGAAAACAAAGATAATCACACAGCTTGAGAATTACTTCGGTATATAAACTGGGTAATGGTGATTGTCAAACCAAAAATTATATTAAAAGTTTAATTGATGAGCCACTGCTGCACTGTGGGGGAGTTTCAAATGCAGGTGAAAGACGTCCAGTGTCCAAATAACATCAAGGTTGCTTTTCATGGTTTATTTTTCCAGTTTGGCAAGCAAATGACAAAAATCAAACTTTCCATTGTTTCCTGCTCTTGTTTAAAAAACAAACATTTTCTTACTGTCTAACTTTGAAAAGTAAATAACAAAAACAAAGAAACAAAATTAAACCCTAACCTAACCCTACAAATAAACTTTCTAAATAACCCAAAGTAAGAGAAGATTTCAGCAAAATTCAGAGTTATAAAAATAAAGAATAGATGCTACCAACACACTCTGTACACTGAGTGAATTTCAAAAGTAATCATATCCATTGGGGTTTTATTTTGCATCACAAATAGTTTAATTGTGAAAACTGATATAATAAAAATCTGAAAAGTTTGTTTTGTGTTTTCCACCAGCTCCACTGAATTTGTCGATTTGTTTATTTTGGATATTTACAGTGTTTTCCAGTAATATGACTGAATAGATCTGCTCTTATGGATCAGGTACGTCGTCACCGATCTAGATTTTTATTCAATATCTGATTTCTAGATATATTGAGGTATAAAGACTTATGCAAAACCCTGTAAGCATTTAAGCAGTTGTGTTGTCTGGGAAACTGGGGCTGATTGCGTAACTCCAGATGATGGACACATTCAGATTTATTCCTATGGGTTATAATCCTCAGCTGGCGAGTGATTGCCAATCCATCAGGCTTCATCCCAATCTGCTCTTCACGCATTGCATAAACCAAAGATATTAAAACCTTCGCAGTTCTTTGAAAAGGCAGCACTAACTTCTGGGATATTAAATGACAACCTTCACTAGATTAGATGCACAGACAGTTATATAAGGTGGTATTTTTCTAATTCCACCTTAAACTATGAACTTGTGTGAGATCAGGCATCTGAAGGTTTTGATTTCAGACATGATTAAATGATGATTTAAAGAAAACAAACTCCTCTGTAGTAACATTTTTGTCTTAAATAATTCAGAAATTAGCTAAATAAAATTCATTTTAAACTATTTATGATCTTTTCAGTAATATATGGAGATCAATTAGGCTCCCATTAGTCGTGCTGGTTGGGAAAGCGGCCAGACGGACGGTCCCTCTGCTGTCAGTCAGACCT